TTGTGTGCATGTGTGCTCAGCCGTGTCCGACTCTTTGCGACCCTGTGGACTGTAGCCCACCAGGCTCCTCTGTCCATGGGATTCTCCAGGCAAGAATACTGGAGTGGGTTGCCATTCCCTTGTCCAGGGGATCTTTCCCACCCAGGGATCGAACTTGGGTCTCCTGCATTGGCAGGCGGATTCTTTACCACTGACACCACCTGGAAATCTCATCTTTCATCAGAATATTCCAATCTCTCCACCTGGCGGCCAGGAACAGCGATCACATAGGACACTGCCAAAGGCAGTTAAAGGCACTTTTTCCTGTGCTCAGCACATATCTGTCGGGTGTGTGCATGCCAGGCACTCGGGTACTGGGGCTGTTAGGTGACTAGACGTGGCTTCTCACCTCAAGGCCTCACCTGGGGAAGGAGAGGGAAGAAGCCCATAAACCACCCTGGGGAGCGTGATGCCCACCGAGGTGTGCGCAGGGTACCCCAGCTGGCTGACTCCAACCTCACATTGTTTTAGAGAAATTCCCAGTTTGATCGCCCCCCGCCACCCTGTGCTCCATGTTCCATTTTTCTTGTCTCATCTCAGGCTCTGTCCCTCCATTCAGCACAGCCGAGCACAGACCCCCCCCAACAGCCTGGTTTCGGGAAGGGCTCCTTATTCGATTAAAGGAACCCTCCAGAGAGGCTGCAAGGGCAGAAACCACACCCTTCTGGCAGGATCCAGACCTCAGAGTAACAAGTCTAAAGTGGTTTTTTTTTTTTTTTTTTAAAGAGCCTTCATCACACCCATGGGGCTTCCCCGGTGGCTCAGGGGTAAAGAATCTGCCTGCCAGTGCCCGGGATGAAGGAGATGCAAGCTCAGTCCCTGGGTGGGGAAGATCCCCTGGAGAAGGGCTTGGCGACCCACTCCCCTATTCTTGCCTGGGAAATCCCATGGACAGAGGAGCCTGGTGGGCCACAGACCATGGGGTCACAGAGTCGGACATGATGGGTGGCTACGGGACATCACAGACGCCCACCTCACCCCTAGGGCGCAGGACACCAATCAGTCTTCCCACACGGAAAATGGGCAGTCTGCCCTCTAATAATGGTTACTTAAAGGGTCTCAGATGCTGTGTCTGCACACCACCACATTGCCAGCAGAGTCCCCCCGCCCCCTAGGTGTTCTCCGTCTGGCCAGTCCCTGCCTCACTCAGCCCCTGGGAGTCAGGCGTGTGTCAGCTCGCCCAGGGTGAGCTCCTGCCGCCCCGTTTCTCGCCTTCAACCCTCCCGGGAGGATGCTGTGTGTGGCCAACCTCGTGAGCAGACAGAAATCCCTAAATTCAATGTCCCTCTGTTAGACGCTCATTCTTGGGGTCTGGATGCTGAAGTGTCCTCACCAATGAGACGAGGAGCCCCTGGAAGCCAGGGAGTGTTGGTTACGCTGCTGTGGGTCCAGCACCTGATACAGCTCGGGGCTCGCGGGGACACTTCCCCCGGGCAGTGGGGGCTGGCAGGCGAAGGTTCTGGAGGCAGCTTGAGCCTGCCAGCCTGGGCAACCTGCTTACTCATGGGGACGTCCTCGGGGTAGTGTGCGGGTTTAGTCAGTCCTTGACAAATATCTATTAAAGGCTTGGAGTAGAGTCAGCAGACAAAAGCAGGTAAAAATAAATAAGCTGATTTTTAGATAAGGTGGGTGAAGGCGGCAGCGGCTATTCTGGCATCATCGGTGTAGAGCTAACATTTGAACCCGGGGGGAGTAAAGAGATTCTTGGGTGAGACAGAGAGTCTTCAAGAAGAGAAGAGGCGCAGGCATAGCCTGGGGTGAGGGAAGCTGTGACACACCCTGACTCCCTAGAAGTCAAGGGGAGGGAGGGCACCAGAGTTCGGCGTTAGAGGAGACTGGCAGGTGGCCCTGGGCTCTGAGCATCCTTCTTCCACTGAGATGCACACCCAGCTCTCAGGCTCACTTGTGTGTATGTGTTAGTCATTCAGTCGTGTCTGACTCTTTGTGACCCCATGCACTGTAGCCCACCAGGCTCCTCTGTCCATGGAATTCTCCAGGCACGAATACTGGAGTGGGTTGCCATTTCCTTCTCCAGGGGATCTTCCCGACCCAGAGATGGAACCCAAGTCTCCCGCATTGCAGGCAGACTCTTTACCGACTGAGCCACCAGGCTCATTTACCACCAGGTATTCAACAGTCACAAAGGAGAACATGAAAACCGTTAAATCAAAGTATTTCTCAGCAAGCCTACATTGTTAGCGGGATTTTGTCAGCCAAGAAAAGGGTTTTCAATAAGGCAAGTTTCCAAATGGAAATTGCTTCCACTCAGGGCTGCTGGAGAACCAGGCATTCACACCCACCGTGAGAGATCGCTCGTCTCCTCCGAAGCCCCCAGGCCCCGCGTCCACGGGTTTCGTGTGGACTGTCTGTTGCTTTCATTCCCTAGCAGCTCTGCCTCCCTCAGGAAAGTGCGATAGCTTAGCTAACGGTGAGCTTTCTTTTTTTTTTTCCATTTATTTTTATTAGTTGGAGGCTAATTACTTTACATCTTAACGGTGAGCTTTCTAAGCTAAGGATATAGCGACCCCCTGCCCCCATAGAAATGATCATGGTGCCCCATTAAGACCTTGGTACTTGAAATCGAGGGTCCATCATGTTAGTTCTGCCTCCCCACCTCTGATGTCTCCTCTGCTGGTGGGCAAGTCTCCCTATAGTGGGCAGGCTCATCCGCCACGCACTTGGCATCTTGAGATCAGAGTTCACAGCTGGAACCAGAGGTCCCACCCTGACCTGGCCTGTGTCCCCAGCCTCCACGTCTCATTTTCCTCTTCCATAGGAATGTGTTAAGCAGAAAAGAGGTTTCTCAAATGACAGCCTCAGAGTCTTAGAAAAATTCGGTTGATCCCAATTTCTTTTCTCTTTGTGCATGTTCTGTATAGACTTTTCCAGTGCACAACCCGTGTAGATCACTGACTTGGGGAAATGAGGTTGTTTTTATGTGAGGATTAACTTTTTGGGGCTTCCCCGGTGGCTCAGCTGGTAAAGAATCCGCCTGCAATGCAGGAGACCTGGGTTCGATCCCTGGGTTGAGAAGATCCCCTGGAGAAGGGAAAGGCTGCCCACTCCAGTTTTCTCTCCTGGAGAATTCCGTGGACCATATACTTCATGGGGTCGCAAAGAGTCGGACACGACTGAGCGACTTTCACTTTGCACTGTAACTTTTCCAGCTGTGTGGGGCTGGTAACATGTTGACATGCAACTCACACGGACACACCATAGGAGTTGCTTCCCTTTCAGAGCCAGCATCTCACAGGCCATTGAGTTGTCACCAGGCTGGTGAGCTTTGAGATCTCTCGGGGTGACCAGCTGCTGCTTACTGATGTCGCTTGCAGACAACAGTGTCTCTTGCAGTTCCTCTGCCACCATGGCCTCCAGGCATCTTCATGGCCTTTTCAAGAAATAAGCTTGCACTGGGCTTCCCAGGTGGCGCAGTGGTAAAGAATCTGCCTGCAGTGCAAAGAGACTGAGGTTCGATCCCTGGGTTGGGAAGATCCCCTGGAGAAGGGAACGGCAACCCACTCCATTTCTTGCCTGGGAAATCCTACGGACAGACAGTCCGTGGGGTTGCAGAGTCAGACAGGACTGAGCCACTAACACACACACAAGCTTGCACTGGACACAAATTATGAGATGAGTGATTTATGATAGGTGACCAGAAAGGAAGGCAACACTGCCTCACATAACTTTATAATGTTAATTTACATAGTCACACCTCACAGCCTTCTCTGTATCTTTTCAAAGCACACATGGAGATGTGAAATTTGGGTAAAAGCTAAGCTTGGATAAGAGTCCAAGGAGAAGTTTAGCATTTTTCCCGTGGCAGATGGTCTGTTCTGAGTGGGTGCATTAGGCACCCTGGATGGGCTTCTTGAGTAGAAGATCAGATGAAAAGTAGAGTAGCACTTGGCTATTATTTATAAGAGGAAGAGCGAATCACAAATGCCTTACAGACTCTGGTGAAATCCCCAAGGTGAGAACACACAGGTATGGGATAACAGGATAAAAATGCCCAAAGCCAGCACTCTAGCTTTTCCAAAGTGCTTGAGGCAGCCTGTGCATTGGCAAGACAAGATGAACCCTGAGAAAGACCTGACCTCAATCCTAGTTCCACTGCCTCTGAGCTGTACAGCCCCTGCAGGCAGCTTCCCCCGGAAACCTCAGTCTGCTCATCTGTAAAATAGGGCAGCAGCATCATTTTCCTCATAGGAATGTTTCAAGATCAAATGGATGAGTGTATGTGACATCTCTTCACAAGCTATAAAGCACCACATGCTGGTTTTTAAAGAAAAATGCTTTCCCAGACAGTATTTAGCCCCACAGGATTCTTATTTGGTATCCTTGTTTGATAGGTAAGGAAGCTGAGAGTTGTGGAGTACAAGATCAGGTGTATTACATTATTTGAAGATCAGAGATCACTTTAAAAAATGATATAAATTCTTTTATGACTACTGGAATGACAGAGACATTTCTTGGAAAACAGCAGTAACTGGAATGGAAGAGCCAGGACTGTCCCTCTGTCCTGTCCTAGGCTCCTAGTGACCTCTGGGCCACTTACCATGAGAGGTGACCGCCCAGTACCACACACCCGTGAAAGGCTGAGGCCCAGCCCCGCCCAGCCCAGCAATTACCATCAGAAGTGTTGGTACCATCTTAAGGGAAGATTATTCTATGAACCAAAGAGCTCTCTTTGCAAAAGAGGGAAATCTTTGAGTTTCTATTGTAATAAGAATAGAATGCACATCCTTTGTTTTTTCGAAACAGCTAAGTTCTGTTGAGAGAATGATTGCGTTCTTGATGTGCCTTAATGTTGAGCGTTTCTCTGAGCAGTGAATTTGGAAATGCTAACAGAGAGTGTTTTGTTATGTTATCAGAGAATGGGAGGGGGAGCTCCCTCAAGTAAAAAGACATTTTATTAATTGATTTTCTTTTTTTTTTTTTTTCTTTTCTGCCTCTCATTTCAGAACGATTTGATCACCACTGTCCCTGGGTAGGCAACTGTGTGGGGAAAAGAAACTACAGATTTTTTTATATGTTTATTTTATCTCTGTCTTTTCTGACAGTCTTTATATTTGCATTCGTTATCACCCACGTCATCCTTCGTAAGTATGCTGGCGAAATCAGATTACGTATGTAACCATTTGCCTGACTTTAGTTTTCTGATTTAATTTTTATTCAATATTTTGGTCATCCCGGGCTCTCTCTTCTCTTTCTCCTTCTCCCTGCCCCCTCCTCACTTCCAGCTGACCCCTTCCTGTTTCTCACCTCCCTCCCCTCCCCTCCCACCCCCATCTTCCTACAGCAGCTGCCAGGGGCGCCCCTGGATCAGACACTTTCTCCTTGACACATGCTCCCTATTCCAACATTGTGACTTCGCTTTCTTTTCTGCTAAGGGATCCCCAGGAAGAACCATTCCACATTTTCACAGAGGATAATGTGTTGTTATGATACCCATTGAACAACAGAGCTTTTTTAAAAATGTGAATCTACTTAAGCAGGAATTGTCACCTTGCCTAAAAAAAAAGGGGGGGGTGGAGAATGAAGACTGAGCTTTCTTACACACAAATCTATAAATGTGAGATACACATTTGATAAGATGTTTAATTATCTGCCAGGACATTGGCAAGCTATGAAGGAAGCAACTTTATTAAAAATGAAATTGGGATATAAGTGATTTTAATATATATTTGCCTTAAAAAATGGCATTTTTCACTCCCCTTTTGAAGGTCATAACTTTGAACTCACTTTCCTGTAATAGGGATGTGATGAGAAGGAAGCCATTTGGCTTTGACCTATAAAGGTGAGCCTTTAAACTTCCGTTATAGCTCCATTAGCAGCATTAAAGACCAGCATCACCTCTGTCCATATTCCTGAAGTACAACCATCCATTAGCAAGTCCAGAGCCTCTCTCTGGAATGTTTCTGGAAGTATTTAGACACACACCTCACTTTCTTCCCTGAAGCAGCGATTAGACTGCAGAGTGCTAAGACCAAACTGAGACACGCACATTATCTACTTGCTCTTTTGGTGGGGTTTGAATGGGTTGGGGGAAGTGGGTAGTATGGGAAATTTCATATTATTTCTTTTTACTTTGGACCTTCATGGACTATTCTGAATTGTCATAGACATTTTAAATCCTAGTTTCCATTCATTCTTTCCCAATCTTTTCATCTAAATGTAACACAAATTTGTAATATATGCATGAGAGCTGTAACTTGCTGGGACAGCAGGAAGAGGATTAACAGGGTCAGAGACCCGTTTACCCTTCCACACCACCTGGGAAGGATGGCCCAAGGGCTCTCCTGGGGCACCTGTTCTATTTTCAGAGTCTCAAAGTGGCAACGATGTAACTAGGGTCCTCAGTTCCGTTCAGTTCAGTCGCCCAGTCGTGTCCGACTCTTTGCCACCTCATGGACTGCAGCACGCCAGGCCTCCCTGTCCATCACCAACTCTCGGAGTTTACTCAAATTCGTGTCCATTGAGTCGGTGATACCATCCAACCACCTCATCCTCTGTCATCCCCTTCTCCTCCCACCTTCAATCCTTCCCAGCATCAGGGTCTTTTCAAATGAGTCAGTTCTTTGACTCATCAGGTGGCCAAAGTATTGGAGTTTCAGCTTCAGCATCAGTCCTTCCAAAGAATATGTATGTATTATTAATAGAGAGAAGCAGTTGTTTACGCAACTAGAGAAGAAAGAAGTACTGATATTCCAGCATATTTATGACACTGAAAAATAGTCTTTAAACATTATCTCTTATATCATCTTTAGCAACTTCAGAATGCCTACACATCTATATAATCACACTGAATATATGGCCTTGCCCCTACCTTCTGGGTATCAGGCAGTTTTTACCCCACACCTTAACTCTGGGAACATACACGCACTCTCACACACACCGTGAAGCCCATTACGTGCCACCACAGTGGCATTTTCATCTCCACTAGGGTCCGTGGGGTCACAAAAGAGTCAGACACGACTAAACAACAACTTTTTGCTTATTCTGGTTTCAGCAAAATGGAGTTTGCTGTAGCTTATTCTGATATATTAACCCAATCTTCCACCAAAAAAAAAAAAAGCCTGGAAGTTACTGCAATATTTTGGACAAAAGCAAATAGAGATTTTCCTCTCCCCGGTTCTGCACCCTCCCACCACAACCCCCAACGAAACAACCCCACCCCGACCTCCCATTTTCGCTCAAGAAGGACAGAGGCTTTACATGGTTCCATGATCCCCCCCTGTGATTCTGGGAGCCTTGGCAAAGGCAGAGAGCAGCTGGGGACCGTGCCCCGAGTCCTCCCTGCCAGGAAGTGGGCTCTGAGCAGGGACACCGGATAGCCAGGGGCGACCAGGGAGGAAGCCTGTTGTCCAGAGATCACCAGGAAGGTGACGTCTGTGTTTCCTCTCAGAGGAAGCAGAGCTTGAGAAAGCGATATGGTCTGGGTTCACCAGGGAAAGAGCAATCGTCTCTTCTTGTCCCTCCGTGTGCCTCAAGGTTGCGTTTGCTCCAAGATCCGAAGTACATCCACGCCCCCCCTGGCCTAACAGGGAGGGACGAGAATGCTTCAAGCTTTCCTCATCAGTTCTTCAATCAGCGGGCATCCTTAAAGCACATGGCACATTCTCAGGCCTCCAAGGTGGCCAGTGGGCAAGAGGGAGTGGGAACTTGGGGAGGAACTGGAGCCATCACACCATCAGCCTCCCCGCAGCCAGCCTGGCCTACCGTTCCACCGAGGGTCTGGGACAGACAGCGCCACGGAGATGCGCTAGAACCGGTCCCATGGTGTCTGCCCTGTTCGCTCATTTCACTGCCATGCCAGGGCCAATTTATGTCCCCAGAACACGAGGACCCAGTCTTGCCAACCCGAGGTGGGGCCACCAAGAGGTCCCTCCATATGGGCTTTTCTTTCTCAAAAGCCTCTAACACAGTACTTTTTGTCAGCTGCATCATCACCCCAGCCCCTGAAGAAATGTTATCTTGCATAGACAGTCTGTATTCACATGTCTCAAACCCCAAAGCAGGCAGCAATATGGACTTCAAGTTCATGAGTTTGTTTACTCTGGGTGCAGAGAAAGGCGTCTTTGATACTTAGTCTAGTTTACAGGACGCCCAGGGTCAAACGTTAACCAACTTCGGGGAAACAGGCTTTTGTAAAAGAAGAGAGAAAATAGCACACAGTATTCTATTTTCCTATTAAAATGAGGAAAACAAAGGAGTAATCAGAACTGTGGCTTATGGGAAAGTCTGCAGACATCCATCTGCTTTTACTGAACAAATACCCTCCAGATGTTGGGTCTACTTATGAATCTGCCATTTTCTTGTTGAATAACTTTGGTGGAATCTCACTGTCCAATCAGTATCAGAGCTCTACCGAATGTAATTTTATTGATCTCGAGACACCAATTATTTTTGTGTAGGTGAGAGAGCTTTCAGCATGAAGGCTGTTTCTTGGAAGTGACGTCTGATTACTAAACTCTGTTTCATTCCCCCAGGTTCACAGCAGGCGGGATTCCTCAACGCTCTTAAGGACAGTCCTGCAAGATATCCTTTCTGGGCTGTAGTTTTCACCACGTTAACGTGTTGAGTATTGGACTGGCCTTCTCCTCAGTTATTTCATCTTGTGCCTTGCCTTTCCTTCTCGTAAATTGTATTCCTTCTCCCTCTGTGAAGCATCCAAAGAGCTCCTTGATATTCACCTGCGTGAGTAACAGCCTTTGAATTGCTTAAACCTTAAAGCGAGTCATTTAGCCTCGTTGAAACTGAAGTGCTCTTTTGCTAGAAAACTAAGTGTGAATTCTTGCTCGCCTCCAGAAACCACACTGATTTGCACTAACTCAGGTTGGTTTACGGAGAAGCCAGGCTGAGTTCCAGCTGACTTCATTTTGATCGGCAGGTGGTCCCTACAGAATACATATGGGTGCCCTGTGTGGGGCCCTTCTTGTTGCAATCACCACTTGGGGATTCTCTGACCCTCTGTGTGGGTTCTGTCTGGGGCTTCAGTTTGGTGTCTGGGCAATATGGATAACCCCACAATTATTTCTCGAAACAGAATATCTGTTCATAGCCCTGCGTAGAGATGGTCAGTGTCAAGTCATTTGGATTCATCCCATCCTCCCAAACAGTGTACATAGGCATGTAGCATAGTATTTTGAACTTCTTGAAAGAAAAATGTTCACCCATGAAGTGCTTGAATGGTCTCCCACAACCTCCCCTGCCCTCCTGGGTTTGACACTACTTGGTGTAGAGTCAGCCAGCTGGACGCACTGACCTGGCTCCATCTGGGACCCAGCTGTCTTTCTTTTTCATATAACCAGTTAGACTGCATTTGGGCCTCACTAGTGGCTCAGATCAGAGAAGGCAATGGCACCCCACTCCAGTACTCTCGCCTGGAAAATCCCATGGACGGAGGAGCCTGGTAGGCTGCAGTCCATAGGGTCGCTAAGAGTCAGACACGGCCGAGCGACTTCACTTTCACTTTTCCTTTCATGCATTAGAGAAGGAAATGGCAACCCACTCCAGTGTTCTTGCCTGGAGAATCCCAGGGACAAGGGAGCCTGGTGGGCTGCCGTCTATGGGGTCGCAAAGAGTTGGACACGACTGAAGCGACTTAGCAGCAGCAGCAGCAGCAGTGGCCCAGATAGTAAAGGATCTACCTGCAATACGAGAGACCTGGGTACAGTCCCTGGGTTGGTAAGGTCCCCTGGAGAAGAGAATGACAACCCACTCCAGTACTCTGATGGGATAATCTCATGGACAGAGGAGCCTGGCGGGCTACAGTCATGGGGTCACAAAGAGTCGGATGTGACTGAGCAGCTACCACTGGGGGTAATCTTCATCTTGTGGCAGAGAATTCTTAAAGAATGAAGAACTCTGCTAAAATGTACATGTCATGACCATCATTTAGCTGTTAAGATGAACCAGCTTGTGTGCCTAGAAGCTGGTTGTGTGCATGTGTGTGTGTAGTAATAGTAGGGATGGTGGTGGTGGTATTTAGTTAGATCTATATGTCCTGTGTGTGTGTGTGTGTGTGTGTGTATACTCAGATGGTATAAAGTGTCTCCTTTCTGGCGCCTCTGTTTGTGTTTATGGACAGCATAGAATGTTGGCAGTGAGTGCAGATTCTATAGTCAGTTGCTAGTCTCTTAGAAAGGGGACAGGGACATATGTAGATATATGAAGGCTCTTGGCGAGTACATCTCACAGGTTTATCCTGTCTTCTGTTAATGATCTGAGAAGCTAGAGTTAGCTAGAAGTTGGCCAGAAGTCAAGGTTGTGCTGGGAATGAGATTCTTGACCTCTGTGGCTGCTAAAAGCAGGTACTTTGGGAAATGCCATTTTTGTTTCTCTCCCCAACTCTGCCAGGGGTGAGCACCCTCCTCCATCATCACCCCTCTGCTTCCTTCGGTTTTCAAGGCACGTTGCTTTGGCATATCTCATAGCCAAGCCTTGATTTTTCTTTCCTGAAGAAGAGGCTCATCTCGGTCTTCCAGGAAATCAGTTCCATTATAAAAACATGCTGGTTTTAAGTTTAGTAAATGCAACTCAGAACCGGCTGTGAGGTCTTAGGCTGCCAGCTGGAATGCTTCCTGAAGCCTCAGGAGTGTGGCAGTCTCGGCCACCTCCCCTCCCCTATCCCCGGGCACCTGTGTCTCTCCCGAGACCGTGGGTCTGTGCTGGATGCCCAGGAAACATTTCAGACCATGGCAGCAGTCAAATGAAGGGACTCTTCTCTGCGGGGTTTCCCTGGTGGCTCAGATGGTAAAGAATCTGTCTGCAATGCAGGAGACCTGGGTTCGATCCCTGGGTCGGGAAGATCCCCTGGAAAAAGAAATGGCTACACACTCCAGTATTCTTGCCTGGAAAATTCCATGGACAGAGGAGCCTGGCAGGCTACAGTCCACGTGGGGTTGCAAAGAGCTGGACATGACTGAGCGACTAACACTTTCCCTTTCTCAGTGGGGAGGGTGCAGAAGGGCTGATCTGAGCCTGAGGCATTTCAGCTGTTCCTTCTCCTTTGGGTCCCACAATTCCCACTGGAGCAGAGGGGAGCTGGGTGATTGGGTTTGTTGTTGCTGGGTCTTCCTGGTATCTGCTCCAGACCTCCTCGCTCGAATCATAATCCCAGAGAAGGAGTCACAAACAAGGACAGGCAGCGAGTCCTAGTCTGGGTAAGAGCCTTTTAATTTCTGCTCTGCCACAATTAATGATCAGGTCTGGGGTCCTTTCTTTTAACTCTTTTGTATCTCAATTGTTTGACCTGTAATCGTGAACTGCTCAGAACTTGACAATGCTAAGCTGACAAATTCAATGACATGGAACGTAAGGGAGAATGCTGAATGTCGGAGCAATGCTTCTGTGTAAGGCAGGAGTGACTTCAGAGAGGCTTCTTTTTGTGGCAGTATCTTCAATGGGCAGGCTCTGCCGGAACCTCCTAGAGCACACACGTCTGCTTGTTCTCATGGTTCACTCTGCCTGTCGTCTGTGTCACTGAGAGCACCATGTTCCCCAGCAAGGGGAGAGGACACGTGGTGCTGAGAGAAGGAGTGACAGTGTATTTGAGTGGCACGCTGTTCGTATGGAATGGGGAGGAAGGAGAGAAATGCTCTTATTTGGTTTAGAGCAAATTTTAGCTGATTTTCCTTTGAAATATCATTCTCAGGCAGAGGTAAAAAGAGCTTCTCCTGTGGCCCAGTTCCTGAAAACTCATGAAAATCTCAACCACTGACTTTCCAAACAGCGTTGCCGTATCCAGGGCTGACCCTCTCCACCAACAACCGGGTGTTTTCCCCTTTTGTGGGTGCTCCCCAGGCATGTCCTCCACATTCGGGAGCTTGGCAGCCGCAGCTGTGATAGCACAAGGGCTCTGAGTGCGTGACCGGCCCCTTCCGGCCTCCAGACACAGCTCAAAGGCTCCTAGGCACATCCAGGCCGGGGCCTGCTCTCGCCCATGCCAGTTGTATCAGCTCCCAGCTGCTGTGTAACAAATAGCCACAAATGTAGAGACTTAACACAACGGAAATTTACCATCACGCAGTTCTGCAGATCAGAAGTCCGGTAGGCTTGGCTGATTGCTACCCCGGATCCAAGGCTGAAACCACGGTGAGACCGGCCTGGATGCTGATCTGAGGTCTCAGGGGAGCATCCTCTTCTGGCTCGTTCAGGTACTTGACTAAAATCATGGGGTGTAGGACTGAGGCTCCTTTCCTGGCTCTGTTCCCTGACTCCAGACTCCACCTGTCTTCAAGGCCAGTAATGGGGGAGCTCACACTCTGCGTCTCTCCTGCCTTATCCGCTCATGTCTCTGACCTCAGCCAGAAAGACTCTCTGCTTTTAAGGAGAGGACACACCCAGATCACTCAGGAAAATCTCCCTGTCTCTAGGTCCATGACCTTCAGTCTACAAACTCCCCTTTGACACGTGCATAAAGTATTCACAGACACCAGGGATTAGGGCATCTTTGGGGAGGCCATTGTCCTGTCTACCCCACAAGCCCTCAGATAAGGGGTACCCCAGGAATCAAGCATTTACATGCAGTTGGGTTTGAGAGGATTTCTCTATGAACCCATTCGGGAAGCTCACTAGAAGTCACCAGGTCACTTTTTTTTTTTTAATATTTATTTAGCTGCTCCAAGTCTCAGTTGCAGCATGTGGAATCTTTAGATGTGGCATTCGAACTCTTACCTATGGCAGGTGGGATCTTGGTTCCCCAACCAGGGATTGAACCCGGGCACCCTGCATTTGTCCAGAGTCCCCGCCACTGGACCACCAGGGAAGTCCCCACCTGGTCACTTCTGTGTCTTCCCTCCCTTCCCTTTCTGTCCTTCTGTTAATCTAGGAGAGAGGGGATGGGAGACAAAAATGGATGGGCTTTTAAAAATGTGTATATATATATTATCCATACATAAATATACATACATTTATACATATGTATATCTATACTCACATATATGCACCTATGTATATATATATGTGTATATGTGAGGGAAGCCAGGTGGCGCTAGTGGTAAAGAACTCATCTGCCAATGCAGGAGACATAAGAGATGCGGGTTCCATCCCTGGGTCGGGAAGATCCCCTGGAGGAGGAAATGACAACCCACTCCAGTATTCTTGCCTGGAGAATCCTATGGACAGAGGATCCTGGCAAGCTATGGTCCATGGGGTCGCAGAGTCAGACACAACTGAAACGACTTAACACACATGAACACGTGTATATATATATATGCATGTATGTATATGTATGTGTGTATACAACAGACACATAGAAGAATACATACACACACATATGTATTATCTCCACCCTGAGTTCATTAGCAGAATGCCCCCGGAGGTCCTTGTTGAATTAGCCAACCCTTTGCAGTGTCCGGGGACCATTATTATCTAACTTGACTCCTGCTGACTCGGTCCCCACTTGGTTTTGTGGGACCTCCTGATCCACTGTCACTCTGGGCCTCTGCCTGGAGAAAGATGACCTAAAGCTGAAGCCTGAATATCCCAGAGAGCTGCCCAGCCAAGCTACAGAACCTCTGATCAA